AAAAAAAGAAAAAAGAAAAAAAAGAAAATATCTGATATGGAAATATCACCATGATACAGAAAATGAAAAACTAATAGTAGAAAAGAACAATATGCTATTTTTTGTATAAATTATGAGAAATAGGAAAACATATATTGTTATAAATGACTGCATAAGCATAAAGACTAGCAGACATGCCCGCCTTTGACACTGAGATATAATGTAGTCATTTGCCAAGTTCATGTTTAAGAATTGCATAATTAAGCTAAAAAAAACCCATCAAAACTCTTATGCTTTACTATTTTGTGTTGGCCTGTATTTGTAGCTATCCATGGCTGCATATGACCTGCAGGCCACAAAATGGATATAATGGCTAAACACAGATAAAAATAATAGTGGTTCCATGTGTGGTTGGGTGAGAGGTAGTAATTCTTCAAAGTGTATTTTAATTTCAACAGAATTTAACCAAGTTAAACTAGAAAAATGTGTTGAAGAACTGATACATTCTGCAAATGTTCAAATTAGACTCAAAAGACCTTTAAATTTCATCTGATCTTTTCATCTGATTATATATTATATATAAATATAAATGTAAGGGTTGTATTACTCATTTCCAAGGTTATATTAACTATTATCGACCAGGATTTTTACCTTTTGACTCACATACCATTTACTACTAAGGTACTTGGCAAATATATACTTAAAGCTTAGTATGTTTGCTAACAGATTTCATAAGGTCCAAACACTCACCTTGTTCTGTGTGAAGAGAAGTGGATGTCTTGTGACACTCACTATATCCAGCAGCACTTACATGTTTCAAAGTGTTTTCAGAAGGAGTATCAGTCTGTATAGATTGTATATATACATAAATTTAAAAAACAATTGAATTTCAGGTCATTGTTCAACATAGAAACTCTTTTGATCTACTTCAATATGCTTTATTCTACTTCAGCATTAAAAGGTATGTAACAGAGATCTGGTTACTTAGTGTGAATCTCAAAAATACTTAAAACTACCTACTCATCAGAATGAATCCTTTTTATACTAATACACATTCTCAAGATGTTTGGGAAAATATAGAAAATTGGGGAAAAACAAACCAAAACCATTATTACTTTAAAAAGAAAAAAAAGTAGACACCACCATGGTTTAATACATACTGCTTTGTAGGAAGTGTGTGTCAAACCTTAATTTCTCTTTGAATTTGTTCTGACACATGGATACAGTATTTCAATCTCTCTGAAGCCTTCCTTTTGTTTTGAATTACTCATACCTTTAAAAAGGCCTGCTGCTTTTCTAGGCTAATAATTATTTTACATTTTTATTAAAATATTCTATGATTAGATTTTTTTATATTTAGCTCTGGAATTCATACAAATTTATGAAATCATGATGACATGTCTTTTTGAATTTCTACCCAATTCTCCAATTTATACTAACAAAGCACTTCCTTCATCAATTTCAAATTCAGCCCTCCTACTAAATTGCTTTGTTCAAGATTTATTTCAACACCAATGACATTTCATTAAATATTTATGTTTCAACTATTCTAGCTACAAAATACTTTAGTACCTAACAGCTACCTCTCTCTGATTTTCTTCTTTCCAGACTAGTGAGTCACATTAAACAATTTGGGAAAGGCATCACACCAATTTTTTTCAAGATTTATTTTTATGTATGTTTCTGTGTACATGCCATATATGTGGCTACACACAAAGGCCAAAAGAGAACATGGGATCTCCTGGAGCTGACTGTGATATAGGTACCAGGATCCTTTGGGAGAGCATCAAGTGCTCCTAACCAGTGAGCAATCTCTCCAGCCCCATACTGTTTACTTTATCAACTACAACACTATTGTACAACCTTTAAACTATCTCCGAACCTTGACCACCAAAACATTACTGCTGCAATAATCTACTATTTTCAATTAAAATATTACCTCAAAAAACTAAGCATCTCTGGCTTTGATGCTGCACACTCTTCACACTGTAGCTAATTTACACAGCAATGCAGTGAGTCTTGATTTAGGTTTTATAGTCTGTGTTATCTTACCCTGAACTTCATGTTCTACGTATAGGAAGTGCTTCAAACAGCAAAATAATGCCATATAACTACATTAATGTAATTTATTTGCATATATGAATAGAAAATATGACAAGGAAATATACTAATTTTAAATAATTTCAGATTATAACAGCTTTCCTAAGACTTATAAATATCCATAGAGTACTTCATTTACATAAAATCCACTTCAGCTGGAACCGGTTCAATAAAAACCTTAAATCAAGTAAGACACAGCACATGGCATATCTTCCACTACAATAATTCTAAAATTAGCTCCAGTAATCTATTTCTTGTGCTCTTTCTCTTTTCATTACCATGTGCCAGCTAAGGCTACCTAAATGAATCCAACCCACTTACCTAGCTTTCTCCTTCAAAATCATCACATATAATGAAAACATGCAGAACTTTAGAAGTATGCCAACAGAATTAAAATGGATAGAAAATACTGTGCAAAGAGGCTGATGTGATAGCACATGCCTGCAATCCAGTTCTTAGGAAGTAGAGGCAAGTCAGCTAAGGATTTAGAAACCAGCCTGAGCTTAGGCTACATGAGGTTGTCTCAAACTACCATTAAGATTTTAAAATGGGGGCGAGGAGGGACTGTGAATAAAAACAGTCTCAGGGCTGGTACACTAAACTTACAGATTGCCTCATTTAAAGGCTTATTTATGTGAAGACTAAGCTGAGCTTCTGACTCCCATGCACTAATGAGTTCTTACTGGATATTCAGGCACCTCTGAATACACCATGATTCTGTTTTAGGTATCATCCCACTGTTTCTCCTTTGAAGCAAGAAAATAATACAACTATTTTCATACTTGAAGGTAAATAAAAACAAGTACAGAATCATCATGTGCATATATTCACCAACTATATTCTGAGTTGACAGCATCTACTTAGTGCATGCCATGTCCACCATTTTCGTACACTGCATCTGAGTCTGACTTCAATGCAGGCAGTATACAACATGCCTGACATCAACGACACAGTTAAATTTGATCGTATGAGGACTGAGGACTCAGAGAGCATGTCAGTTATTATATCTTTGGGAGAAAATCTTGTGTCCCTGTATTTGTCATTTGATCATTTCCAAAATGTAAGTTCGTTGAGGGACAGAGGAGTTAAAGCACTTCAAAGCTCATGGTGTAGCTACATCACTGTTCTGGAGGTGATGAGTAGCTACAGGCAATTTAAGAAAGCAACAGAAATAAAAACTAATTTTCAGGCAAGAAATACCTTTAAAAATTTTTTTTTTTTTGCCAGTTGTTGCATTTACTCATTAGACATCATAAGAATTTATTTAATCCTCTACATATGTACATTATACATAGCCTTTTTACGTCTAGATTCCAAGTTCTTTGAGAGCAAGGATCACGTTCTAATAAACTTTGGATCCTGAAGAAAAGTTAAGCTCATTAATTACTCCATAGAAAAATGGAACAAGGAAAAGCATTTTTAAAAAGAAAAATGTTAAACATTTTATTTTAGTTAACAAAAATGCAAGCTAGTTTGAACTTTTTCATGTTTCTCTGTGAAACATAACAGTTTCAAGTATCTGGGGTAATCATAGCAATGACAATCTCTGCTAACCTACTTTTTACTGAAGAAAAAAAAGTTTAGTTCTATTTAGAAGAAATGATCACAAAAGTGAAATTACATTTAATTGTGCTGTTATAAAGTGTCACTTACGGATAACAGTTCTTTTATTTTGTTTGATGTTTCTTTAAACCTCTGTAAATCCATACTATCTCTGTGTCCTTAACAGGGGAAAAGGAAAAAAGGTTACAATGAAAATTTTTTCTTCCCTATTAGATGAAGTAAAATCTTAGAAACAAATGATCTTTCAAGTAGTTTTCAGGCTCTGAAAAACTTTCCTTTAGTTCTTTTTATAAGTCATACTGAAAATATCTACCAAGAAGGTATCTAATGGCAAACAACAAAGGCCTCCTATTGAGAACACCACAAACAGTCTAAGTCAACCTCAGAATGAAAAGGGGACACTTTACTCTTCATAATGAAATACACAATAGATGGAGCCAGGCATAGTCGAACACCTGTAACCCCAGCAGTTGGGAGGTAGAGGCAGGAGCAACACGATCTTCAAATACGTTTAAGGAAAACCTGGACTTCGTTAGGTTGGGATAGATTTAATGGAGGAAATGTTATTCAATTCTCCACATAAGCTAATAGTAAATACCAGTAATCTAATACCTAGATAACATGCCAGGTTGACTTAATTTGAATATTCTACATGGTCTTATTAAATGATTTCCAGATAATCATTAGTGTCCACAACTAGGTAAATTTGTAGGCTGGGAAAGCTAGAAAAACAGTTCAAGAGTACAGTAGGAAGCAATGGACAAAGTCAGACATGAAAAGGCAAAAGGCCTCAGGCAGGCCTTGTAATAGTATAAATATAATTCTAAAAGAGGAGATGATGACAAAAACCTCTCTAGTTAAGTACTTTCACACTCTATGAGGAGACAATTAGACGACTATCCTCTCCCAAACTCCCACAGAGTTCAGCTAGCCCTATGATACTCTGTCTCTTCAGTTCTTTATTCTCCTCTACGGCATGCTGTCAGCATTTAAATATGCTTAGGTCTATATTACCATTTAACACAAAACCACCTGCCCAGTATGACCGACTATGCTTATAATAATGCCAGACTTGGGAAGCTGAGGCATGAAAATTCCAAGTTCAAGGATAACTTAGGCTATACAACTAGATCCTGTCTCAAAAAAACCAAAATCCAAATCAAACACCCTAAGCATAAAAAACCAGTGTCAGTTACAACTCTTCCTCCTGTCATGATCAAGCTTTTCGGGGAATTGTCCAACTCCCCTTTTATACTCTCCTCACACTGACGTTTTATTACTAAAGTCTAGCTCCCCATCACTTCCCTGGCCAAATCATGTTCACAAATGTTATTAACATGATTACTGTCAAAGCAGGTTTTTTTCTCTCCCATTACTTTACTCAAACTATCACAAGGACAAGACTTTTCTTCTGTACCAGTCTTTTCTGGTGTGATACTGGCATGATTGCTATAGATTCAAGTGCTTTCTAATAGACCTGAGGCTTGCTCCACAGACATCCTTGCCTGATAGTGTAAACCCAGGTCTGTTACTTTGCTAACTGTTCTAAATGTCTGTTTGTACCCACAGACCTGGGCCGCCCTCAACCGTGGTCAGAGAAGTGTCTTTTTGCAGTGGGCAGCAGTCAGTGCAGAGACTCCTAACTAGTTAAGGAGCTGAGAATACATGACTGTGAGTGCTAACTTTAAATAAGACATGGTATTAACCCACTAGCCAATAATGATCAGGGAACAGTGTGGAAAAGGAGGTGCAAAGAATTTAAAAGGTACCTCCTTTGTGCTGGTTCTTTAGTGCACAAGAGGTCTGATAAAAGTAGGAAAGAGGGCTGGAGAGATGGCTCAGCAATTAAGAACACTTGTTGGGGGCTGGAGAGATGGCTCAGAGGTTAAGTTAAGAGCACTGACTGCTCTTCCAGAGGTCCTGAGTTCAATTCCCAGCAACCACATGGTGGCTTACAGCCATTTATAATGGGATCTGGTGCCCTCTTCTGGTGTGCAGGCGTACTTGCAGGCAGAATAATGTATATATAATAAATAAATAAGTCTTAAAAAATAAATAAATCTTTAAAAAACAAAAACAAAAAAACACTTGTTGGTCTTGAAGAGGATGCAGGTTCAGTTCCCAGCACCCACGTAGTGGCTTACAACAATCCATTAATTCTGCTTTCAGGGAACCTGATTTCCTCTACTGACCTCTGTGGGCAACAGACACACACCCATGGTGCACAGCCATATATGAAGGGAAAAACTCATACACATAAAATAAAGAAAAATTAAAAAAAAATGTTTCTAGAAATGTTCTCATCTTTAGATATGTAATTAAGTAGACCACAAACACAGACACGGTTTTTATTAAACAGCTTTTCATAGGATCATCATATAGCCTAGTGTATCACTGTTAAGTAATGAATGAATGTGCTGTCCCTATAATCCTAACATAATTACTTGTAGTGCGCCTCTCACTTTCAACACTGTCCTGGTTTATATACAAAAATTACACATTGGCCCTATTCATATTGGTGTCTGTATGCAGCTTCTAACCTCCCTTGTACCTCTTGACTTTTACCCTAGCATCTACTACTCATGAATCACTCAGATCCTTCCAACAGCTGACAAATCCAACTGAAGATATATTTAAATTCAATGGCACCAAACAGGTATATAACAATGGAACTCTTACAGCCCAATTCAATTATTTTTGACTACTTCTGATTCCTTTAGAAGACTATATGACAAGACCATCTGTTATACCATATATTTTCATTAATTAGCTAATTACTTTTCTAAGGTAGTGTTTCTGACATCAAAAGCAACACTAATATGCAGTAAGAGTTTGCCAAACTTACCCACAAATGCTCCAAATTCTATGTTATCTCCTTCTGCAGCTTTATAGAAAACAGGTTCTGGATCTTTGGTTGCAGATTCCAAGTGGCTTTTGCAACTTGGCTGGGATGGAGTACTCACAGAAAATTTGGTTGGTGGGGATGACATATGTGGTGAACTATTAGGCGAACTTCCTAATTTCTGATTTTTATTAAATATTTTTAAGATTTCTACCCCATGTCGTCTCTGTCGTAATTCTGGGGGAGAAACAGCACTTGGGAATAAGGCACCACAGGAGGAACCAGCCTCTGGAATGTTGAATTCTTTTCTCTGGGGTATCACAGGCAAATCTTGACCAAACAAGTTATACTGGGGGTCTTTTTCATCTTTCATAGAAATGTTACAAAGAAAAGGATTACTACTTTCACGATCACCTTGAGGAAGAGAGGAGCTCAGTGTATTTACAACGCTATGCTTCTTCCACACAGATCTCATAGGAACGTCATCAATAAGATTCTGGGCCAAGTGTTTGGAAATACTCAGTTCTCGAGTGATCTCATTGTGGACTTTGCTAGCTTCTGAAGCTTTCTGGGCTGTAAGTGTTTTTAATGTATCTACTGTCAGGGCTGAGAGATCTTGCAGATGACCAATTTGAGAATCTAAAGACTGTAATGATCTTTTTATGTAGTTGACACGATCTCCAACTTCTTTAATCTGAATGCACATCTGCTCCACTCTGTAGGGCAATAAAAAGGGCATTTTACAGATGTTAAAATTAATGTAGATGGGACAGGGAGATGGCTCAATGGAGACTGGAGTTCAAGCTCAGGAACCCAGTCAGGAGAGAATGTTTCTGGCAAGGCTGTCCTCTAATGTCTACACACGGTGCATGTGCTACCCACATGTCATGCAAACACAGGGAAAATAATTTTTTTGTTTCTAAGACAGGGTTTATCTGTGTTGTTGTGGCTTTCCTGGAACTGGTTCTATAGACCAGGCTGATCTCGAACTCACAGAGATCTGCCTGTTTCTGCCTCCCAAGTGCTGGAATTAAAGGCGTGTACCACCATGCCTGGCTTAAAACACCAAGTTTTACAAACAAATTTTGTTCCATAGGCTATCTGAGTCTACTCCGCACAAAATGTATATACAACTACATATACAAAGGACTACCATCAGTGTCATACACAAATACCACATGCTTCTAACATGAGATAGAAACAATGTAAAAAAACAAAAGCTTTAAAATAGTTATGATAGCTTTATTTTTTATCTTCTTAAATAGTTAAGAACACCAATTCTTCTCTCCTTTGTAACTATGTCAAGACAGTAGTGCCGAGGACTAGACTCAGACGTATAAGCACTTTTCTAATAAGTGTGAGGTCTGAACTTGACTCCCAGCACCACTAAAGAACAAAGTCAGGGGCTACACAGGTGGCTCGGTGGTTAAGAGCACTTAGGGTTTGAATCCCATCAACCCCATGGTGGCTCATAATGTCTGTAACTCCAGTTTCAGTGGATCTAATGCTCTCTTCTGACCTCCACAAGAAACACGCATGTACATGGTACACACACACACACACACACACACACACACACACACACACACACACAGAGGCAGAACACTCATACACATAAAAAAATAAAAAATAAAATAAAATTTAAAAATATTTATGAAAAGTAAAATAAAAGCTTGTAACAAGAGATCTACTGGATTATATGTAATAAATGCAAAGAACTAACCTGATTTTTCAATGTGTAATATAAAACTTTTTGGTAAAATAAACTAAACAGTGAACATGTATCAACTAACAGGATCCATTCTAACATATAGTTAGTGATAATTAAAGAGCATTATCTACCTTTCAAAAGTGACACGGATTCTCTCTTCACTCCCAGAATGGAATTTGTCGTCCTTTTCATCAAAATACATCTCAACACACTGCTCTTCAAAGTCATGGAGTTTCTTTTGATCTTCTTCTGTTAAGAAAAGTTCTAAGGAGGAGAAGGCCAAAAAGAAATTAGAACACAATACAATGAAAGCTACCCACCAGGTTTTCAAACTTCAGCTCTTGCATCTTTTTCTCTTTCTACTTATTTATTTTTATGGACAGTGCCCCTCCACACAGCTTGCATATTTATTTGTTTATTTAATAGACAGGATCTGTAGTGGGTACCTGTTCCACATATGAACTTGAAGTACCAGCTCCTAGGGCATGGCCTCGGGGCTAGCTTAAGCTGAGGGGCATGTAAGCTTAGCCCACTTGCTCCCTTGTGGGCTTGGTGGGTGTGGACTGACTCAGGCAGCAGGAGCCACCGCGTAGGACAGGACACTGGCCTTCCAGGACCCTACCATTTTGCCTATTCTGTTTAGTGAGTTGTTTTCTCCAATTTATGTCCTAATAAACTGCCTATACCCCTTAAGCAGACTCTTTTGGATTTCTCAATATAAAGGTCTAAATAAATACCCCTGGAACTCATAGACATCTCCCTGCCTCTGCCTCCCAAGTGCTGGGATTAAAGGCATACAGACCAGGCCTATCAAGTTTTAGGTATTTGGTCTCCTTTTAATTCCTTTTTTTGTACTATGTCTTTTCTATTTCTTGCTTAGCTCTCTTGTCAAGTACCTTATTGGAGAAATTTAAGGAATAATTTTATGAGAAATAAAACCATAAAAAATTTAAGCACAACCTAGGTGATTTATCTCAGGTTATATAAAGATGCATTAATTTTGTCTGTTTATAGAATGTTAAGAATGGCTTCTTGGGGTTGGGGGTTTAGCTCAGTGGTAGAGCTCTTGCCTAGCAAGCGCAAGGCCCTGGGTTCAGTCCTCAGCTGGGGGGGGGGGCGGTGGGAAGAGGATGGCTTCTTAGGGACTAGAAAGATGGCTTAGAAGTTAAGAGCACTGACTGCTCTTCCAGAGGTCCTGAGTTCAATTCCCAGCACCCACATGGTGGTTTACAACTGGATCTGATGCTCTCTTCTGGTGTACAGATGTACATGCAGACAAAACACCCATATACATAAAATATATGAAAAAAATCTTTAAAAAAAAAAAAAAAGAATGGCTTTTTAGAACAGGTCAAATGACACAGCTTATATAACCATTTTAACAAGAATAACAAAAATGCCTAAGTGCCATTCCCCAAAAGAAGTTAAATATTAAATTGATTTTTATGTATCATACTATTTTGCTTTTAATTAAATGATCAATAGTTTATTCTGAGGCCAAATATGAATTACCATGGCCCAGAAATAGAGATTTAGATTATGCAAATTCTATGTTCAAACATGGAAGCTGTTTTCATGAAGTTACAGAACAGAGAAAGTCATAAACCAAGGCACTTTTCAAATATACAGAACAGACATCTCATCTATGTGATCTGATGACACTTAGCTTTTTGATTAGTAGAAAGTTAAAAAGTTTTATCTGTAGTCAGGATGTTAGGTCCAACACAGGGTGGAAAGTGGAGGGGGGCTGCAAGAACAGCTACTTAGTGAACTAAAGATTGCCCAAGATAAATAAATTGTAATTAGGCTCTGGACCTGAACATTCCAACCTCTGTACAGTCACCGAGGTTTTAATCAGTCAGTCCTTGGAGATACCACCTCTTTCCAGGAATTCTCATTCACTGTCTGCTGTTGTTGATACATCACATTTTGTGCACATGGGAAGGTGGTCATATATCATTATTAAATATAGCCATAAATTCCCACATAACTAGGATGGGTTATTCATAATATCTGATATAGATGAGGCTGAATAGTAGGGAGGATAGCAAATCCCGATCCAGGTCTGACTTTTTTTTTTCTTTTTGGTTTAACTAGAGTTTCTCTGTGTAGCCCTGGCTGTTCTGGAACTCACTCCATAGACAAGGTCGACTTCAAAGTCACAGAGAGCCACCTGCCTCTTGCCTCCCAAGTGTTGGGATTAAAGGGATGAACCACCACACCCAGCTGAAAAAAACCTTTTGTTCTCTGTATCTGACATAATATTTATATGTGACATATAAAAGGACTACTATACTTGAAATTAATCAAGAACACTGTTTGGCCTAATAAAGTGAAAGTAGCAGATGAGAGTAGGTACCCTAATCAAAATATCCTCGACACGGGTCATCTTACGCTTTAACCAAACTGATATGTTTTCCCTCTGTCTAGTTATTTGCACTTTATGAAACATTTGCTGTTTGAAGCACTTGTAATGATTTACTATCTTTTAATTCTAGTCTTCTTCTAGCCAGTTTGATTTCATAGCTATCACTTTATGTGCTTGCTCTAATTCTGAAAAAGACTGGTTTTTAATATCCAAATTATCATAGTTCTTATTTGCAGACTCAAATTGTACCTAAAATTGTTTTATGTTGAGGCAAATTTTAAGTTTTCACAATAACTAATCCAACAGGCTGTCTGTAAAATCAATACTAAGCATTTTCCCAAAATTTATTTTACTTACTTGGTCCATCAGAAGTCTTATCTTTCTTTCTTCTTTTACATACACAGCAAAACAGAGAAACTATATGGCTAAGAATGATAAGTGGAGGAGGCAGAACTGGTTTTTCATGATAAGCCATGATAAAATGATAACGCTGATACTTCCATACAATATTGGAAATTGCCTTCACTTGTAAATATACATTACTAGAATAATGAACAAAAATAAAGCAAACAATTATATCCTGAAAATTTAAATGTTAAATATTTCACTTTAATTTTGCACTACATACTCGAGTACACTTTCATTGAGGAAAAGTAAATAAATAACTATAACAAATTTATGCCACACAAAAGGTTGATATTGTTGAGGACCTTAATAAGGACCTCAGAAAAATGGGAAGAAAAGGAGTAACTTGAGGCTTTTACAAAATTTTATGTAATGGAAAAAACATTTTTTTTTTTTTTGAGAGAACAGTCTTTAATTCTAGCACTTGGGAGATAGAAGTAGAAAGATAACTGAGTTTGAGGCTAGCCTGGTTTACATAGTTCCAAGACAGCTAAGGCTATGTAGAGAAAGACCTTGTCTCAAAACACGAATTTAAAAACAAACAAACAAACAAACAAACAAAAATACTTGATATGCAAACATAAGAACCTGAGTTCAAATCTGACACCCATGTGTAAATAAGGTGTGGCTGCGCATGCATGTAACCCCAGTGTTGTGGGACTGAGAAAATGCATCCTAAGGTTGTACCAGTCAGCCAGTCTAGGTGAAATGGTAAGCCTCAGGTTCAGTGAGAGACCCTGTCTCAAGGGAGTAAGATGGACAGCTATGTGTGCACAGACCAGAACACATGCACATACATACACATACCTCTACCCCCAAAAATTAACCTTAGTCTGGGCTACATACAGACACTCTAACTTAAAAAATAAATGATAGTTAATACTAACTGAGTAAAAATAAAATCTAGATTCTTTTATATTACTGTCAAAATTGGAAACATAAGAAACAAATTGGATACTAATAAGAAACATAATACTAAGTATCAGCAGGAAGTTAGGGATACAGCCTTATTTTGACTTAAAGCCAAAAGCCCTAGAAGTATATATATATCCTCAACAGTTCTGAACATTTAGAGAGACAGGAAAAAATAC